ATGGGCAAGTTAGGGGCATAAAATGGACAAACTCAATCATGGCAATATAATCTTAGGTAGACTGTGTCATTGTGATAATGTCAGAAAGGTAGAAAGTCAGAAATATCAATGTTTAATTTAATATTGTGGAACTGTATAGTTAGACTTTTACACCACATCAGAAGTTCGCTCAGCCACCAATTTATAACACACAATAATTATATATATATTATATTATTATTATAAATATAGGGATAAATGACGATAATGATAACGTTAGGATTAGTAAAGACTGAACTGAACGAAATACAAGGAATTAAGGATCAATATAAACATATTAGACATACACTGTACATGTCAGGTCATGTTATTATATATGGCACTGTTGCTAAACTGTAATTATACCACAGAATAAACTGAGCTGTGCGATACCACATCATTTCAAGTTTAATTTAGAATGAGAAATATGAGAGTGGAGTTTAACAGTCTTAACTTTTCTCAATCCTTTTGAGATGGAGCGTTGTTAATAAAAACAAAACTGTAGATTTGTACTTTTTCAATTCTGTTGTTGTCCCTTTTTTACTTGTTGCGTGGATCGATATAAAGTATTCATTCAACGTACTGAATGTGTGAAAATTTAGGCACACTTGCACGGTATTAACACAATAATAGTTATTATTTACTTGTTTTATTAATTATCAGGTCTGGTCATTTTTTCTCTTTCAAATTTTACCATTTCTATCTACTTTTGTGTAACAAGGGTAAAATGGATCAGCTGTGAGCACTGATCCAGCCAATAAGTAGCTGGTCACATGATTGACATTTAAATATACACAAACTTGTTCCTGCACGACTCAATCTGCAGCGTTCACTGATTCACTGTAATCCAGATTACAAACAAAAAAAGGGGACACTGGACTAAAGGTTGAAAGGTATAGATCTACTATAAGGCGTGTAACAAATGGTATTGAGGTCTCGGGTGATCGACTAGTCTTTTGGACTTGTCATTGTTGTGTAATGGTGTATAAAAAGATGGCTAAAGGTCATATAGTTGGTGGGCTGCGCGACATGAGGGTACACAAATGCACTTCACAATATAAGCGAAGCCGGAGGCAAGCAGACCAATCAGGGAGTATGGTGGAGGGGTCAGGGTCAGTGGAAACAGTGTGGGGAGGGTGGCCTTTGAGTGGATAAAACGGACCGTGAGGACACGGTGCATGATTGAAAGTGCACAGTGCAGCTTAGACTCAGTGTCGCACGCGTGATAAAAGAACGGCTCGCTCTGAAAGTGTTTTGACTGGAACAGCCAATCCAAATAAGGGGAAAAACGTGAGGCCTCCCAGATGTAGGTTCATGAATCTGCTGGACAAAAGACCTCTAACAAATGGATGGGGCAAGGACCATTAGCAATAAGAGTTGGGAAAAACAATTAAGGGCTATATTATGAATAGTGTGGACAACATTCAAACTATTGAAAAGTAAAAATGCAATATTTATAGATTGTTATAGATTTATATATTTGCTACTTTTATAATCCGTAAGAGTGAGTAATTTGGGTTATGGGGATGAAATTGAGTGAGTGTGGTCTTTGCGTTTCACTTTATGAAGCTGAACTAATATGATGAAGGAACCACATTAATGTGACAGAAAAGAAAAGAGTAGTGTAGGTCATTAAACAGAAGTATTTTGAATATTCATTGAGGTTTTTTATACAAGATTTGAGGGTAGTGTTGAAAAGTCTTTCTGGAAAAGAGACCTTTGATCACAATGGGATTTTTTGATTAAAAAAGCTAAAGATAAACCCCAACAAGACATCACATCGTGAAGGTGGTACGAGGGCCCGCACAGCTCGCAATTTTGAGGAGGAGAAAATCTTGCATTTCTACAATAATGGATAGAGAAAAAAAAGACAAAGATAATATATTCTGCAGTATGCTTTGGTTATAATATTTAACTTAACTTTGCTTCATTTTGGAAATAATTTGTAAACTTGCGAGAAAACAAAAACGTTCTTCTTGGGCGTTCATTGTTTTTTGTGTTTTTTTGATTGTAAAGCAAAACGAGTTGCCGTCCTTGTATGAAATGTGCTATATAAAACATGTTTAAATATTACTTGTATAAATGGGTGACTGACGTATAATTTTGTAGCTATCGTGTGTGACATCCCATTCGGGAGAAGCTGGGGGGCAGGTCCGTAGTTGACCAAACCCCCTCTCCCCCATCTTCTTATCTCGTTGTCAAATTCTGATATATGAAAGGTCATCCCCTCACCTCTGCTCACAAACCCAAAAGCCAACATTGGAAATGGCACGTGCGTGGAAATTTGCGCTAAAAGGCTCAGTCATATATTGTATATTTTGTGGTAAAAAACGGGTTGACGGAAAGTTAGTAGCAATATTTTAGCTCACTCTTTGAACTTAAAGATAATGGAGTCTGCTGCTGTTAAGAAGTAATTAAACGGGGAAAGGTTTAATTTATTTTTTTAACTAATTGTATTTGAAAAAAAAACACAAAGTGTTAAAAATGAATTTCATTTGTTGAAGTAAATATCAAATTTTATTGAGCATTATCAAAAAAGCTTTTTAAAAAATTGTGGCTCATTAAAAGTTATGTTTTAGTATTAGAGAAAAAGTTTAATATGTCAACACAAAGAATTATAAATAATTTAGTGTACATTTTGACTATAGCAGACCAGTTTTGATATCTTTTCAGATCTGTGTTGGGCACATTTGGAATGAGAAAAATAATGCTTAGCGGAAAGATGCTTGTTCATTGAAAAACAAATATATATAATTAAATAAATATATATGTTTCTTATCCTTTTGTGTTTGCACATAATTGCTCTATACTCCTTCAAACTCGCCATTACGAAATGAAATAGGTTGTGATTAATTAGCACAGATGCCCATTTAGAACTTTAGACCATAAATCCAAGTAAAAGAAACTGCCCATTGTCACAATCAACACGTGTGGGGCCAGAATCCGCTGCCGGTGCATCCTTTTCCTTCAGTGAGATGCTCGCAGTGGCGTAAGACGCATCTCTTCCTCCTTCTCCTGCTCACTGCCCCTCTTAACATGATCCATTCACCTTCTTCAACAAACCAGGTGAAGTAAAGTGGAATGGTCTAAAGACAGCAAAAAAACAAAAACAAGGGAACTGACAGAAAATATCAAGAGTTCAACTATAGAGGAATGCAGAGAAACTGACAACATCGGAATCTACACTAACTTCAGCTTGTATGTTGTAGATAGTTTTTTAGAATTACAGTACAATAATGTGGTCAACTCACAGTTACAATGGAGGAAGTAATTTACATCGCCAGACACAGTGAGTGTGCTATTTCAGATGCAGGGATTTCATGTGAAAGAAGTTTCAACCTTTAATAGCCAGCAACAGGGCAGGGCTATTCGCAAACAGAAGATTTGTAAGGGGGGCTATTACAAAAACATCAATTGTAATCGAATGATACAAACACACTGAATCTACCATGAGCTTTGCAGTTACTTAAACACTTAAAACCAACTATCCAATAGGAACCTCAAAATCTCACTAAATTGCAATAACAGTGAAATTTTGTTTAATTTGTTTGTATTTACACTTTTTACACACTACACAGATTTAGTCTGCATTTGGTTTGCTTCGGTGCGTGAGACCCACACATGGTTTGCATTACATCATAAACAGTGAGGAGCGATTTGAGAAGGCGGTGAAACCAAATACACCGGCGATCTTGATTGGATCATTAGAGAGATTGATGGACCCACTCCCAGGGCCTCTTAGGCAAACGCCTCTGGAGGAGCAAGGCGGAAACTTTCAGTGTCTGTGCGAGAGACAGCCAAATAGATGGAGCAAAGCAACAGACGATGTTATAGGGTCCGATAAGATTTAATAATGAGGTGTTTAAATCTTGTTACAATCAAAGCATTCTGGTATTCTTTTAAAATAAATGTGCCCACCTTTCTATACAAAAATTTTTGGAAATGCATTGCAGAAAAAAAAAGAAAAAGTAAAGAAAAAAAGTCCTGTGTATTTTACTGACTTTCTCATCTGTTCACATTAACGCCACGGGAAGCAGGAATGAGTGCTGTATTAGCTTTGGATGTTTTCGGAGAATTGGATAAAGGTTATAGTTAGGATATTTAAATTACCTTATTTTTAGGGTAATCTACTCTATAAATAAAACAAGGTAGATGGGGATGTTTTGGCCCAGTGCTACTGGAATATTGCAACAAACATGTTGCCAGCAAGATACAATTATAGGGTTGATTGTGTGTGTTGGCCTTCAACCTCAGCCCAGCACTGAGCAGCTGTGAAACAGATGCATATAAGATTAGATCAATTAATTTTAATTAGAGCATACGCGGGGTGAGGAAAAAAAGAGGATTGCAAGGAAGACAGTCCGGAGAGTTTATTCTGCCACCGAGGAAATTGTAATAATACATGACCCTCAGCCCAAAGAATGAACTAGTTTGACATGCCCGAAATTTTGTTCTATTGGCTCTTTTATGTCAGAAAAAGTTACAGAGGGCACACTCAAACAAAGAATGAATAATCCAGGGCTTTCCTAACAACGGGCCAATACACTTTCCAATTCATTTTGAATAGAATTGAGCTTTTGAAAGATATTTCTGTTCAAAAAAAAAAAAGTAAAATAATGTTAGGTACCTTAGCTTTAAAAACAAACTGGATTCACATTTTACTGCATTAAACGCAATATTTTAGTGTATTTTTGTTACACATTCATCTCAAAAACATGGGTTAGGATTATCGGCCAAAAGAACTTGACAAGCCAGGCATTCAATACTAAACGATACTATTACACAAATTGAACACCAAAAATAAATTGTTTCTTTATTCTAAACCTCACTATAGTCTCCCGTCAGCCACACAGCTCATTCTCCCCTCTGCTAGTAAAGTGCACTGGCTTATAAAAGGCCACCACTAAAACCCTGCTTGTATCCAGGGGCATTGTCATGAAGAGTACTGAATGTTTTAGTGTCTCACAATGACAGGGAAGCCGTTAAGACTGGCCGTGCCGTAAACACCCCAGTGGCTCATGGTAAATCGATGCGGTGCCTCGGAGCATGGCATTATACCTCTGTGATTCCCCTCTGCTTTGACACCCGAGCTTCAGCCCATGCGCCTCCATAGGGATCACCCTGGCTACACTGACAGTCCAGAGCATCAGTGCGTTCCCATTGTATCGCTATGGATACATTCCAAGCCAAAAGATCCAGTTTCCCTCAATAAAATAAAAAGAAAAAAGCTAAAGTGAAACTCCGGCGCAATGTTTCTAATAGAGGCTTTGGTTTGTACAACGGGGATGAAAAATGACACCATCTCATAGCTGCCTGTTCCTCTAATAACAGCCATTAACACTGGAAGGGGGGCAGCCAAGCTCTCTCCCACACACACACACACATACACACACACACACACACACACACATATACACAAACATACACTTACACACACTTACACGGTTGGTTATACAATGTATTGGAGATGCACTTACATTCTTCTTCTTTGGGGTCCAGCTGCGTGACGCTGATGGAGAGGCGGTCCACGCGCTCCTGCAGGGAGTTGACCCGGAACGAGAAGGAGTGGGCCTCGTTAAAGAGCTCTCCAAACAAATCCTCTGCATATTTACCTAGAATAAAAACACAAGTCCAATACAGGAAATGTAGTACAATTAATAGTAATAAGTAATGCATTTTGAGACGACTCGATATGCAGAATCTGTGTGTATTTGTTGTGTATCCTGTAATTGTTGATTCATGAATTTAACATTCTCAGAGGTTTTCATCATTCGCGCATGAGATTTGTTTTCAAGCTTCTTTTACAGCTTTTAGAGGGTGAACTTGTGTGAGTGAGTCAGCATTCAGCAGTGAACCCTGTTGTTGAGAATAATGACACATGTGACAAGTGGAGAAGAAGTAAACACCTCTGAATCCTGCCACATTGTAAGCACTTCTGCACAAAAACTGGCGTTGCAGTGATTTTTGTCCGGGCCTGCTGTGTGTGTGTGTGTGTGTGTGTGTGTGTGGTCGCTGCACTAACGCACATCACACAGTACACATCATCACACAGTACACGTTGTTGCGTTCGTGATCGCGGCTTGTGGACTTCATGAAAAGCTGAAACTAGTGTTCATAAGGGAAGAGCTGCTCAGGGCGCGCTGAGGCACAGCGTCTGAATCGAGGAGCGAGCGGCGCCTGACGCTGCATTGATTCCGAACCGCTGCTCTGTGAAAGTGAATACAGTGAAATTTATCGAGTCTCAAAATGTCATTGTGCGTCTTTACTTATGGAACAATAAATCATCCTAGTTTTTAAGTGTATTTTTTGTCCTTTACCACATCTGCTTTGGCCTCTAAATCCATATGTTTTTTTCTATTACGATGAAGACACTTTACTGTCGTCTTAATTGATCATAACATTTAACTTTTGAAAAACTCTTCTGTTGGAGCAAGAAAAATGTATTATTATGAAAACCAAAGAGAGGTTCCTTAGCTTTAATGATGCATTTCTGCTGAAACGTTGCTAAATACTATTAGCCACAGAAGGGTGTGCATGTCAGAGTGTGTGTAAAGCGTCTGTTACTGACTGAGGCTGCTGAGCTGGGCGGATGACGTTGGCCAGGGACACGTTGGTCACACACTCCAGCTCATTCTTGATGTTTCTGGGCAGCACTGTGTGACACAGGTGCCGGGGCTCGATGGTGCGCTTTCACCAGCGGCATCCTTCTGCTGCCACACTACTACCTGGAAGACACAAAGGAAATACAGTTACAACTTCTGTACTCTTGACCCGAGAAAGGTTACATTTTTACATGGTGTCCGTGATTGCGGTCATAGAAGCACAATCTGTGAGCGGCATATTTGGTAATACAATTATATTACCTAGATGTTGACTGTTTGAGCACTGATTTAAAAAAACAGTGCCATACTTCAGATTTTGCATTTAAAAGGTCATTTGAAGATGTATATTTGAAGGTATTCCACAGAAGCGAGGTGCACCAGAATGGCAGATGTGTAACCTTTTAACATAGCTAACAGCCTTGTAGCCTTTTGATCATTCCCTGGATAGCACTGCTCAGCAGTTTAGCTGCCCACTCAGCCATGTTAATGCTAATGCCATTGGGTCTGCAGAGTGCATGTATGAAAGCAACATGGTTACAGTATACCTCCTTCCTTATAGAATAAAACAACCCAAAATGTAACAAACACCACAATGAAAACACAGTTGATTGTAACCGTTGAAAAGCCAACTATTTTATTGATGTCCAGTTAGACAATGACTTGGGGCCATAGGAAGATGTAATGAGGTTGTTCTCCTCGTGCTGCTGTTGTGATTGTGCAGTGTGGGCGATGATGACACAAGCCCTAAACATGAGTCTCACCTTTCAAATGACAGCTCTTTATTTTCCTTACCACCCACTCTCTAGTCATCAGTGCCTCGTGTTTGAGACCACCGCTAAACCCCATGTGTTTGGATATTTTCCACGGTGGATTTGAAATGTCGTTACAATATTTGAAGTATTCGTGCAGAAAACCCCACATTAGAATGCTTTGCTTTCATGCTCCATTTTACCCCAGTCCCAGATCCCTTTCTCAATAAGAGTCTCTCTGAGTTTCTCAGTTTTGTCCCACTGGGCGTTTGAGTCGTTCCTTGCCCAATGCAGGAGGGTTTAAGCACACTGATGATCTGGGACATTCGCGGACATTGTTCATCCCGCTTCCATACAACCAAAGGCCGCTATGGGTTTTTTATTATCATTATTGTATTTTTATGGTTTTCTCCGATCTGTGTTGGCGAATCAACAACTTTGCAAAGCGCACCCAGACTGCTGTTGTGATTTAGGGCTATAAAAAAAATACATTTAATTAAAGTTGAGTTAAACACAACTTTCCTTATTCAATACACATTGATGCAAAGAAAAATATACAATTTTAATTTAAGAAAAGTCGTCTAAATCTTGCAGAACAGAAAGTTGAGGCCCATGATTATAAACACAGAGAAAGACAACTAAGTGTAATTCTGTAATGATGATAATTGAAAAACAACATATCGACGTAGGAGTATTAGATCAATATAGCAATAGATAATCTGAGACGGATGACAGATGGCGTAGCAAGTAGAGCCATATGTCTGTTATTTTAGAATTAGATTAAATGATTTAGACTGGAATCACCTGGGTTTCAATGAGTAATATTAATATTATATGAGATAAAAGGTGGTAAAGACCAGCAAATCTTTTAAGTCAATCACCACACAAGAGCCCCACACTGAGCCTGCTGCGCCAGTGAAGGTTTTCGACTTTGATAAGACATCATTTGACAGCCGGGGAGAGTGAGAACAGTACAGCCTTTCCTCTAGAGGCCCCGTAAAAAGCACTCCACCACTAAAATTCTGTTCAAAAGAAACGGAGATGATAGCAGACAAACACAGCCGTTTAGGGGGTCGCATAAGCCTGCCAACTTCAGAGGCAGCTACAAAGGTTTGAAAGAGAAATCAATTAATAATCCCAAAAATTGTTGTATTTGTCAAAAGATCCTTGTGGAGCCATGCTGGTCTGAACAAAAGCGTTTCTGAGCTGGGAGCGTAGGCGGTTGTTTGTGACGCCCTGGTCATTTACAACAATTTCTGGTGAGTCAGCTCAAAAGGCCGGCTTCATAAAAAGAAAGACTTTTTTCAGTGACACAATTGAGGAGGGAAATTCATGGAAAAATGTGCATGGGTAGCGTTTTTTCATTTTCTCTTATCGGCAACAGCTACAGTATATCATACCGGCAAAGAGTTCAGAGTCCCAAAACTGGTCTCGATTCCACACTTTTAGGTCCATCTAGAGTCTTTGAGTGCAAACCTCATCTTGAGTGGTGCTTTCCACTGTCACACATCGTCATGGTAACTGCGCTGCGACGTCATTGGTCACTGTGCCATATTCCGACAGAGATGCAGAGCCGCAAAAGGGGGAAGGTTGAGGTGATGAGTCAAGACAAGAGATAGCCATTGACGAGCAGTTACAAAACGATTGTGCTGTACATGGAAAGGGGAGGGGATGAAACATGTCTGTGCAGGACTGGGTTTGCAGGGGCCCCCGTGGTGCGGCTCACTGCACTTGGGACAATATGCCCAACTGCTGGCTTTAATGAATCCTAATGGAGCTTTTAGTCACTACTACTACTGGGGCACAATGAAGCAGATAGGCTCTTAATACAGACTGGGTCAAGGGCCTATTATGTTGGGGCCAAATCACTTGATGCAGCACCTCCCTGTAAGAATGCACATGTGATGCATTGTCTTAGCTAGGGCAGCAGGCAATCAGGAAAAAAAAACACCCGCTATATTCACTGATCTTGATTTCTTATTTGATCTGTTCTTTTCCTATTTTCATTCAAACTGGTATGACAACAAACTTTCAGACTGAGTGAACAGATGACAGAGTATTAGGATAAAAAACAATCAGGAAAGAGTTTTTAGAACTTTTTACCACAACAAATTAAATAGTTTCTTCTTCAGGCCCGCCTGAAGAGGAGGCCTGCAGTGTCTTTTGATTTTAATTCATATGGTGGCAATCACCATCAACAAAAAATTAAATCAACTTTTAATTTTAGGCAGGGGTTTTTTATTTTTAAAAGGAAACTGTTGTTTTGAATCCAGTTTAGTATAGTTTTAAACAACAAATTATTTGTCATTTATGAGTATAGCAACGGATGAAGCGGAAGAAAATGGATGGATTGATCATGGAGTATATCACATATTTGTCATTTCAGGTTACGAAAACATTTGTTGTAGCCGGAAACATTTTGTTATGGTCTTCAAAGAAGGGCAATGACAATGACTGCAAATTGCCTTCAACAACGTGGAGATCTCATCTCTATGTGATGTAAAATTCATAGCCTGCACCTGGGCCAAGTAGATCGTGTACAATCAGCAACAATTTGGATAATGCAACTAAATACAAGGTCTGTTTGCTGCTGAAAAACAATGAGAGTAGCAGCAGTGACTCTGAAATAATGAGGCCATACGTCAGTAGAAAAATCCCATTGAGTTGAATTTATTGTGATAAGGTTTGGCAAACCTGACGGCTATTGGGATTTAGAATAGGACGTTTACGGATCTGTCCAGAAGCCGTTCAAATCACAGTGCAGAAAAACAGTAGAACAGCAAATGGAGCTCTCAACATACAAGAGACCAACAAAGGGAGAGAGCCCAGACCTTTCAGGAAAAAAAACACTTTTGCATAGAGACAATTTTTGCATAGAGAGGACTTTTGCATAGAGACAATTTGAAGCTTTTGGCAAGCACAAGTGGTACAGATCCCAACAGATCCCAACTTTTTGGGAGCTTTACTTTTATAATTATATTATGTTCTACTTACAGTTCTTGTTGTTGTACATTAGATTAGCTGAAAAGTCTTGACATTGATGGATATTGTAAAATATTACAGCAAACAGAGCAAGATTTACAGTGAATTACATCAGTGAGGTCTAGTATGAAGGTCAGCCTCCATAACCGTCTGTGCTTCTACTCTCAGTGAGGGCCTCAACAAGACAGGGCTGCAGCTCCAAACATCAAAACTCTTTGAGTAGGGCTGAAACAACTAATCGATTAATCGACGACTAATCGATTATTGAAATAGTCGTCAACTATTTTAGTAATCGATTAATCGTTTTCTGGTTCACACGGACTCAAACAGAGCAAAAATGACATGAAAATGTAGTATTTTTGATTAAAACCGACTTTGTTTTTATAATTTCATGAATATCTGTCTGTCTCATCCAATCAGATAGCAGAATTAGCACAAAGAGCCTTTTACAAACATTTACTTTAAGTTTACGCCATCAATACGTCCTCGAGTGTTGCCACTTTAGCTTTTTGTGATGAAAAAATATTTTTTTTCTACACAATTCACAGCCAAGCGATTATTCGATTAATCGTAAAAATAATCGATAGATTAATCGATTACAAAATAATCGTTAGTTGCAGCTCTATCTTTGAGGAAGGAAAAGAAGCCAAAATATTGTCTTGATTGATTGATTTGGACAATATCAAAGTATAAATATGTACAGTAGTGCTGGTGAATGGAGGTGTGGTATAGTGTTGGTGAATAGGGGTGTGGGTGTCAGTGTGGGAGTGGGACCTTTACCTCTCCCCGCCTGGGCAGCTGCTACAGTGAGATCTCCCTCATCTCGATCTCCGAGGCCAAACGGCCGCAGCTGCACAGAGCAAGCTGACATGTATTATTGAGCGTCAGGCCTTTCATTATTTATGTGGACGTGTTTGTGTGCGCTCAGCAGATAAAGTTTTTCAATTCTGTTTGTTCATAACACATTCACATCACAGATGTCCATTGAAATTGAACATGTATACAACGGGTTACTTTATGGAACATCTCACGAAAACTAATCTGTGCCAAGAATTACAATGTGGCCTATTCACAGGCGGAGGATGACGTTTCTCATTGATGAGCACCTTGTAGTAAACACAGCACTACAGTCAATTAACAATTTATGTATTATTTTCTGTGAGAAGATAGGTTGTATTTGAAAATTGATAGTAGCTGGCAATTACTGACCAAGAAAATAATACTGTGTGTTTGTCTAATGTTTGTTTTGGCAAACCAAAATGATACATATGTTTTTCATGAGCCTATAGTGGCTCATATAGTGGCTATACGCTCTGTGGTGCTGCCCTGTGGTGCACTGGTGTCATATTAGACATCTGAGATGATCACTGGTCACTCGAGGAGGAGTGCCAGGCCTAGCTCCGATTTGAACAACTTCAGAGAATGTTTAAATTGGTGTAGTTAAACAATTTAATCTATTTTTATATATTTATTGCCATAAATATATATAATGTATTTATTAAACAATTTGTATACCCCCCATCCACCAACACAACATCCACACCCCTTGCACCAACTGTGTGTTCCCAAAACAAGGTGAAACATTTGGGCAAAAATATAGACACACATTCAACGTTTAGGTTGAATTGTTGCTAATATTTGCCAAAAAAAGTGAAACAAAATTAAGGCCACAGCTTCTGTTAATGTGGTAAGAAATGAGAGCAGTGTAAAAAGTGCAGGAACATATCAGTGAGGTGTCAGAGGGAGAGAGAGGAGTGCACTGTACAGTTGTAGTCTCCCATTGGTCGGATGGTGCTAAATGTCCCAGAAGTGAACACGTCAAAAGCAATCACATTTTGCGAGATGTGCAAGTCATGAATCATTTCGAGTCCCCTGGCTCAGCACAGATTTAAAGGAGACATTATGAAATAAAATAAAAACTTATCACATTACAACATTGTTCCCTAATCAAAACAGACCTGGAGTTTGTTTTTGAAACATCCATGCTCGTATCAACAACTATCCAAATGCCCCTTTCATCTAAAAGCTTGTGTCTCCAGTAATAATTACCCATTTTTAGTTTTGGCAATTTCCCAAGCAAAATGACCTTCACTACATGGCTATGTTTTCAGACAGTAATTTAAGTCTCAAAAATGACTGGCTGAAAACAAAATAAAAAAATACTACTCCATCTTGTAGTAGCATTGGCAATTAAAAGCAGAAAGCATTTTTTATACTTCATACATTTGTTACCATGTTTTTCTTCTTGGGACTGTCTCCCTGAGCTTGTATGAAAGGACTTGTCCCTATGTTGAAGTCCAGGCTGAAAACTGTGATATTAATGCATGCATATGACTAGTTTGGAACACTTTGGGTCACACTGTGAATTGTGCTTTATAAATAACTTTGATTGATATAATTTCACATTCTAACACATGACATGACGAAGCAAACCGTCTAATTATTTATTTCAATGGCCAAAAATGCCTAATATTTCTTCAAAGAAACCATCACCTGTTGTAGTGCTGATTCTTCAATCGTTGAGCAAAACACTGGATTTTTTTTTAAGTAAGAACAAATTGAAGCCTTTGTAAAGATCCAGACACTAATCAATACTCTACATGAGACTGCTGGATTACATTTTATTACCATGATGAAACTATTTACTTTACTCAATGAATACAGAGTAAAAAACATGTAAAAATGAAACAAATATTGTTGTTAAGGAGAAACTGTTTTAAAACCTCTGCAGTATCCCATGCAAAGTTTTACTAACCACGCCTTGAGCCAGGTCTAAAACAGGGTTTTGGAGTCTGTTAAAAAGGTTATAATTATAAGACTACAATTTCTGAAATCATAACAATTCCATGAGAGGAACTCTTCAGTCAGTTACCACAGACTGAAAGGAACTGTTTAAGAAGACACCTAAGCTTTCCAAATCCTTCTCCAGAAAATTAAAGAAAGGCATCATTGGAAATGTTCAAATTCAGGGAAACCTCATGAGCCTAGGTGAGCTTTTCCCACAGCACGTCTTAGTGTCAGGCTGGTGGCAGTTGGCCCCGGCTGAGGGATGTGCAGAGAACAGCGGTGGATTTGAGGGATAAATTGAAGCCACGCAAACCTCTCATCGCCCGTCTCCAGCGTGTGAGCCACGTCAATGTGAGAATGGGACTGTGGCTGAAGGTGCCCTTGCTGTGAGAGCGGCCCGCGGCGCCACCAGCGGTGAAGCAGCAGGGCGCTCCATTGGGACACGCAACATGATTTGATCAAGTCGTGATTGCTTCAATTATGCTCAGTGATAACAAGCTCACAGATGGGGACACAAACATGAGTTGGCAGATGTGGCATGACTGAATGATTCACTAACAAAGCTCGTCTCATTCACTGCATTTATATGAGCAGAGAATGTGGATGTCGCTGCACAACCAAACTTTCTTGATCTTTGGCTCCAAACCAGCCAGACCATTCCCAGTGTGTACATACAAGGCATGAATGATCACAGGAGGCTTGTGAGGCAATCAATGGGGTCCAGTAACTTTACCTTAGCACTCCCAAACTATGGAGCGTAAGTAAACAGTAAACAGCTGTAAAATACTGTAAAAGCAAACTTTTGGAAAGTCACTTTGAACATTGGATTTGCACACTTGCACACACATTTCCTCCCCTGCACGCATACACAAGACATTTGGTTTCTGTGGCACAATTAAAATTCTGGTTAAGTTTCTACTCGAGCTTCAAGATGAAAATGAATTAAACATGTGCTACAGATTGGTGTAAAGCGGATTTTAGCCATAATCATGAGCTATGGTCCTAGGTCAGCATCTGTTTGACTGTACGACAACAATCATGCAATGCCATGAATGGAAAGATGCACACTTCCAACAGGAACTGCACTAGTAAAGGGAAAGCATCTAAACCTGTGGATCCAACAGTACAGGCGTCAAGGACAAACTCCATGTACAGGATAACGCACTCTTCTGATAGCAGGCATCACGTGGCCTGTGTAGAAAGACATCACCCCCCCGCCACCGCAGCTGCATGTCCCTTACCTGCTCATCAACCTCCAGCTCTACAGTAATAGAACAATATGCAGATAGGATTATGCTAAACGATTTGGCTGCATGGTTTTGTCGTTGTGTAAAACATTTCCCGTTTTTCAAAGACATTTCTCTTGCATAACTTTATTTGACTTCTTTAAGTGATTGTATGGATCTGCGTGATCTTTGAGAGAACGCTTCAGGGACACATACCCAAAATATCAGCATATAACACGTATAATCAAGAGAGTAGCAATCTCGAGGTCACACGCAAGTAGACAATGATGCTGGCAGCTCTCTGAACATGATAATGAAGAGTTATAAAAAAGATTGTATACTGAAGGACAATCAGTTAAGTTGTGTTGGCCGTCTCCTACACAATCCCTCTGCCTGGCTTACCAGACAATATACTCTGATTGCAACATGTGACGATGTGTTACATAAAACGTATAGAGTATCACAAAAGTCGAAGGAAACTTGTATACTTTTAAAAATCATATATTTGATTTGTGAGAGAAAATCTTTCCATTCCCATCACTTTGTAATAAATAAAATGGGATTATCACTGTACAAGGCAATATATACAGTTTAATTTATGTAGAAAACTGTATTTTGATTGAATCCAAATTATGGCTGCAAAAAGTCAATTGATTAATTGCAACTAATCGATTAACTAAATAGTTGTAACATGATTAATCCCCAAGGCCCCTTCTAAAAAAGAAAAGTCTGGATGCCAAAGAACTTAACAACTAATGTCCCATCTCAAATCCGCGATTTATGGGGAAACTTTATCCTTGAAAAAGTTGTCTACCAACAGCATACTACATTTCCAAAACAACAGCACTGAGACTGCTCTTGTCAAGGTAACAAACGATATCCGGCTGAACACTGAAGCGGGCAAAGTCTCAATCTTAATCTTGCTTGATCCGAGTGCTGCCTTTGACACTGTCGCCCATCAGGTCCTCTAAAGCCTAGCGTACATCGACAGAGAAACTGGAGACAACTAGTTGCAAGGCGGCTTTTGGCAACTGAGAGGAGATGATGGAGATGATCAGTTGCCGAAATCGGTCGATGTGCGCTCTCTTACAACTGGAGATAAACAGTCGATCTCCAGTTTCAGTCAGTTGCTCGTGTTCTACTTTTTGGCAACTAGTTGTCCTCAGTTTCAGAGATATGACCCGATGTGCGCGCTCCATGCGCCGCTCCGACAACATGTGTGTATTGCGAGCCCGCAACAGTTTTTGTCAGAAAACACACTGTAGTTGAGGCCAGTTGCTGTCGATGTACGCGCTGTTATTCCCGAGAGTGGTCTGCTACTAGGAGTTGCCCGTTTTCGTCAGATTGTCGATGTGTGCGGGGCAGCAACTCATATGCGACGGATATAATCAGTTGCCAGTCCGATGTACGCTAGGCTTTAGAGACTAGAGGACTGGATTGGTGTCGCTGACACCGCCCTAAGCTGGTTTAGGTCTTAACTTGAAGACAGGAAGTACTTTGTGGAGATGGGAAAATGTCGCAGATCATATGGCCCTGACCTGTGGAGTACCACAGGGGTCGATCCTGGGACCTCTTCTGTTCAATCTCTACATGCTGCCGTTAGGTCAGTTAATACGCAGAAACAAAGTGTCCTATCACAACTATGCAGACGACACTCAGATCTATGTCTCACTGACTGCAGGAGAACATGGACCAGTGGACTCACTCCTTCATTGTATCCAACAGATCAGTGAGTGGATGCAAAACAACTTCTGTCAGCTAAACACAGACGAAACAGAAAAGATTGTCATCGGCCCCCAGAAACAAAGAGAGAGTGTCATCCGTCACCTCCAGTGACAGATAACACTCCCTAAAACAC